GTTTTTTTAAATTATTTAACAACATTCACAAATGAAATATTTGCCTCCTAAATTTATGAAATTCTGCCTTTTAAAAACTCACTCTATTCTTCTATACAAATACATATCTCTACAGAAGTAGCTGGCATGATATTCATGAAATATTCACACTTTCTTGGTGGTGGAACGTTGAGATTGTAAATTTCTGCAATGCCTGCCTTCATTTTTAACAATTACATATCATTTTCATAAATGACAATGAAGTCATTGGGATTTAAAAAAAGAAATGGAACTCAAAGATGAACTGAGAGAGAAAAAAGAAAAAAAACGAGACTTCTCAATTCTTGTATTATCGCCAGATTCCCGGCCCTTCATTCCATAGCTCGTACAGCAATCAAGTGATTTCTCTAAAATAGAAGCATAGCATATTCATTTTCATCTTATTATACTGCAAGATTTTCAATAGACTGCCACTAATCCAGGATCAAATCCAATCTCTTTAATTTACACAAAACTCTCTAATCCAGCTCCAGCAGGTCTTTCCAACATCGACATCTTTCACTTCCCTTAATTTATCTTCTTCCTCCTACTACCTGGAACAACTTGTAGTAAGAGTTCCTCAGGCTTCAGACGGTGGGAAATAAATGTGCCCTCATTATTTGTTTCTTTGTTCTCAGAAGGGGGCAAAGGGACTGGAACTCCAAATTATTCCCCACAATTCAGTTCAATATCATCTCTGTGAAGCCTTCCCTGCCATCACTCTTTTTTCCGCCCTATAAACAAAGTTATAAAATTATGTGCATCCTTTTCCACCCTCTGTATCATCACCATGCTGAACGATATTAAAGCCTCATGCAAAAGAAAAAATATTAGTACTGATCCTATATTTATTAAAATTTGGGTATTTTGTTAATCATGTATTTTGCATGAATTTTGATTTTTTAATACCCTTTCAAAACATTATGCATGTTGATTACTATTCTATATATTTATTTGTTATGCATACTTTTTGTGCTTCAGATGCGGGCTCACTCATATCACCCTAGTCTTAGCCCTCGTCTATACTACTGAAGCACTATTACAGTCCGCAGCTACTCATCTACACATCTATTATCACTGCTAGAGTGGGACCACATAAAAGGAAAGGAATCCGTTTCATTTCTTTCTGTAGATCTAAAAATAAGCATAGTCCCTAAAATGGAGCAGGAACCCATTTAGCAAAGATGAATAAAAACTCAGAAAAGAGAAATAACCAAATTTTTTAGTTTTTAAGAATAAAATCTTCCACAGGGAAGAAAATATCTAATTGAAATGGATGGGTTTTGTTTGTTTTGTTTTTGTTCTTTTTTTAAGGTAAGGGAACTGTAGCTTAATTCAAGTCATGAACTTAAAGTAATTAAGCGGTAAAACTAAAATTGGGTTCTTTTCCCCCATAAACATCTATTTGTGGCACAAAGTATTGAGCGTACCTATTCTAAGATATTGAGTGTAATCTATTCTAAGAATATGCCTGTATTTAGTCTACTATGAGAATCAGAAAACCTTAAAATTAAAGGAAAGCTTAGGTATTATTTAATCCCCCCATTCTCTTATAAATAAGGAATCAAGCCTAGCAAGGTTAAATGACTCGCTTAAAAACACAATAGAGTCAGAACTTGAAATCAGGTCATCCATTTCTCCACCTGGTGATTTTTCACTGGAGTTTTTTTTTCATAAATCTAGAAGAGAGGACCATTGGATAATGGGAGAGTGGGGAGTGGAGATTTTTTTCTAGGTCAGGCAGAATTGGCCAGTTCATGAGTAAAATAAGCCACAAACAAATATACTTAGTGCTTGAAACTTGGTCACCACTAAGGTGCGGTGATTGAAAAATGACCTTTCAAAGTTAATTCCACCGCCTTCCTTTCCTTTTGTCTTTGTCACTGGCTTCTCTATGATTCATTTCCATCGGCAAGAGAGTGACTCTACTTTCTGCCTACTCTAATTCAAGGTTTGTGGGGTCCGACTGAAAATATACACTATTCAAATACTTTGTATATTAACAAGCACAAGTCATTTTTAGTTGCAGATTAATCATTTAAATATATTATTATACCTAGTCATGCTTGGAGTAAATTGGAAGTAATTATGTAAGAGTTAGTAACCAACTTGGAGTTGAAAGCTAGAATATAGAGACTGGTTCGGAATAAGGAAATTCTGAATTTCATCTTTAAAAGATAGAGATATATAAAGTCACCATTCTCAGCCAGAATTCTTCACAAATTACCAAGACTCTGAGCTCTCCTAATGACTCTTGAAATATTTGCTAACAGTGAAAAGTGATGGGTCCTTCACAAAAGTATTTTGTTGAATGTAGCTATGAGTTATTGGAGAGATAGGAATGATGACCAAAATAAAATATTTAGTCATGACTTAATTTGATGAAATTCAGTTAGGGAAAATAAAATATGCATTATTATTATTAACATTGAATACAAATGAAATAATCCCCCTTTTTGTAATCATTGCACTTTCTTTCTGGTCAATTTATTCATCAAATTAACAAATAAGAGTCCTTGGTTAGGGGTGCCTGGGTGGCTCAGTCAGTTAAGCATCCGACTTCAGCTCAGGTCATGATCTCACAGCTTGTGGGTTTGAACCCTGCATCGGGCTCTGTGCTGATGGCTCAGAGCCTAGACCCTGCTTCAGATTCTGTGTCTCCCTCTCTGTCTGCCTCTCCCCCGCACCTGCTCTGTCTTTAAAAAAATAAATAAACCTTAAAAATTTTTTTAAAAGGAATCCTTGGTTAATTTTGCCCTTTCTCTTTGTTGGACACCTGACTTGTTTTAAAATTTTCTTCATAAACCACAACAACAACAACAACTCATAGGCTCACCTGGATCCCTTCTCTACAAATCTAGTATCACTGATTTTTATCCCTTTAAAATCTGTAAAATTTACAGGAGAGGAATTTCTTTTTTAAAAAGGAAGCCAATAAAATATATCTTAACAATAGGCCAATATAGAAGTAAAGAGTATATTCTTCACTAAAGAAATAAAGTCCTTTCATTGGAATAATAAACAATCATAGATTCCAACCACACTTTCAAGCATTGTCCTCAAGGCTAGAAATCTACTCACATTTATAAAATAATTTGTGATAAGCTTTTTTATACAAGTACTCTTTATTAAGTATTTACATATACACACATTTTATTTGGCCTCATATTACTGGTGTCAATTTATAAATGAGGGCTTGGATTCGATGAATTCTAAAGCACCTTTCAGCCTTAAAATTGTTAGTGACTCTAGGATATACCTAGAGTGATAGCAAAAAAAGGAATCCTCAGATATGACTGACAATATTTGGCATTTGAACATTTTACAGTTCTCATATACAACCATTCCAAGGCAATGTAATAATTGAAAGACTAATGTCAACTAATTAATATTTTCTTTTCTAAAAAAATAAGAGAGTCTGCTTGGAAAGTGGAAATTTTCATCAAAATTCTCCCCCAAACATCCAGAATACATTCATTCACACAACCCAGATCAGGAAGAAGAAAAATCTGGAAGCAATGCAACAAAAAACAAGACCTAGATTTAGTGTCATAAGACACCTGCAAGAAATTTAATTAAGTTGTTAAGCCTACCTAATGAAAAAGAAAAGTCAGTATGTGAAAATCCTGATAAACTGCATAACAGAGTCAGCAGAATCCTACCCCTTAGCTATGAGTTTTCTTCTTTACTCCATTCCTTTGCTACTCCTTTAATTTTAAAATACTCACCCTAGTTATGATACTGTACAAAAAAAAATAGCCCCCCCAACACTAAACTTCCCAGAAATACAAAACTACAGACACAAAAACTTCCCAGAAGATTAGCATTTCACGAGCCAAAATAGATCTATGTTTGGAAAAGCATCTAAATGGCCTTGTATTGAGTTCCTAATTCTGATGATTCTGTGATTCTGATCAAATTCTATCCTACTATTCTGATCAAATTTGAGACAGATAATTTATATGATCTTACAGTGCCCAGATCTTTGCTCTCTGGTAGGCAGTGCTTCTTACTTAGAGAACCATCTGCACACATTTTCATATTATTTTGAAGTCAATTGCTAAGGTTGTGCTAACGTGTTGCCCCCTATTGGTATAAGAGAAACAAATGTTTTCAATAAGTTGTCAGACTCTAAATAAATTTCTTCCATTAAAAAATGCAATGTTCTCTGCTAGCTTATGGTTCATTAGCATGCATTGACTGTTCTACTATTCAAGTAATATTGTAGGTTAAGGTGAAAGAGCTTTCCGAGAGAGACAGTGTCTAGCATAGTGCCTGGAACACAGTAGGCTCTGAATAACTGTATGTTGAAAGAATACGTAACTGAATAAACTACTGTCAAAAAGAATTCATACAGTGAGTTAAACTTTGGCTCAAAGCACAGATTTTTCAAGTCAAGTGTTTCAAGTCCTGTTTGACCAACATAACACAGGGAACACATTTTCCCTGGCCTCCATTTTTGTTTTTTTGATACAGGAGAGGTTTCACTCTATTGGTCGGTATTTGTTTTGTTCCATTTTCCTTTTAAAAAATGTTTCATTCAACATAGAAAGTCCTTTCCTTGCTGATCCTAGAAGAATCTCCAAAGGTCACTGCATGTGATATCCAATAGACAATTCTGATTAAGGGCAGCGCCACTGGGAAATTTAAGGTTGTTGTTTGATATTCATAGTGTATATTTAAAAATGTCATGGTCTATTTTCGAATTCCAATGCATAAATATGAACCACGTATCTCTAATAGCCCTATTTCTCTTGTCCCAACTTTCCAGGATGGTCTGTATTTCATCTAATTTGATTGCTGAATTGATTCTATTCATATCATTTTTCTGAAATGAAAGATGGCTCACTCTCTCTTCACGGAGGAATGAATTAACTCTCCCAATAACTGGCTTGGATTTTTTTTTTGACTGTAAAAATTACATTGACTTTTTATTTTAATAAAGAACAATGGTTTATCTTTAAAAACATGTAAAAAGGCATTCTGCATTGAGTTCATCATCTTTTAGGAAACTATTCTAGCAACAAAATTACATTAGACTTTCTGATTTCTCCATAGTGTCTTTAGATAAATAAACAACCCAATAGACCATGTTAAATGCCCCAAATGTTACTGGAAAGAGAATACGGGCATATTTGTCTATTTTGCTTGTGCCAGACCCAGATGGCGGGGGGGCAGAGGGAGTAGTGGCTGCTGACAACTTCCCAGAAGCCCCTGTGGTATTAATAGTGGTCTTAATTCGCTCCAGTCTTGATCCAAACACACGTTGGGTAGAAGCAGATCCAGCAGAAGCCTGTTGGGGCACATACCCAGTTCTCCCAGGAGTAGAGGGAGGAGCAGATAGAGGTGCTCTTGCGGCAGATATTGTTTCAGCTGCATTTGCATGGCTGAATGGGTTTGGACTGGAAGCTAAGTAAGACTGTGATGTGGCTTCAGAAGATCCTGGATTAATTGTGGAGGATTTGCTCGAATGGTTTCCCACCTCAGTTCTGTTGCCAACATCAGATTCCGAGTGAACCAAGGCATTTGTTCTTTTTCTCATATTCAGGTTGGCATTTGTGTTCTGAAAAGGTATATTAAAAAATACATTGATTATGTCATTCTATGTAGATTGATGCAACGTTAAAGGGAACAAATAATTAAAATTAGTTGTTTCTATGAAATAAACTTCTACTGACATGCTATAGCCGCTCAGTGTAAATGCTTAAAAATACCTAACAAAACAAAAACAAAAACAAAAACATGAATACATTTGAAACTCTGAATCAAAAATCTTCTATTTCAAAATATTGTCCATTCTTATAAATAATCAGAAGTTAAATCTATAGAAAGATTTGGCTTTTAGAACTCTCAACTAGAGTTATGCTTGATTTTATCTGAGAAGTTCATGATGATAGCTGTACAACTTCTTTGTTCAGTTTTATTGTAAATGATATTCTGTGAGATAGGTTGTATACAGTTCGATGAGTTTTATATATGTCTGTTTTATAAACAGCAAGAACTGTACTTACTCTTGTGCATAGAATAACAATAATAACCATAAATATGTGCATGGCATTCCTTGCAAAAAGGAGACTCCAGAAGTTTAAATTTCTAAATCCCTGGAATTTATTTTCATAAGCTTACACAGGCACATGCACATTATTATAAAATCCAGAAGGTCTAATGCATTTTATTTTTTCACCACAATAATGAAAATACAATGGAACATTAATTTTAGGCTAAATTTTATATGAGATTCATAAACAGCATCACCATATCATTGCATAAATATCCAAATTCAAACTATTTACCAATAAAGAGGATTTAAATCAAAATGGAACTCACTGTTTTCCATCAAATTATTTTATGTGTAGAGCAAGACTATATTTGAATACAGATGCATGATAAAGTTTAAAATTAATTCTGCCTATATTCTGACAGGCACGATAAATAACTGGATAGCCAACTATAGATTGTCCATGCTAATGAAGGAAAGCAATTGCTCAAATGATTCCCAAAATAATCATGTCTGTCTTTAGAATATACCATGAGTCTTTCAAAAATCTTTCCTCCTTAATTATGTTTATTCTAAGCTACATTAAGGATATATTATTTATAACTACTTTCTATGCCCTCTCCCCTTACCATTTTATGAAATAGGTGGTGAGTGAGGAGATGAAGAAGGAGAAGTGAGAGAGAGAAAGAAGACCAGCTCACAGGTGGGCGGTTAGAAGGAGATCGCATACAAGGAATGTCACAGATAATATTACATACAATTAACTGAGAGCTCATTTTACAGAGAAATGTTTATTCTACAAATAGAATCCTTCTTCAATATCACACCCATCAAGTAGGTTGAAAGTGTTTAATCCATATGTAATATATTTGTGAATTATGACTACAAGTTTGCTAAGTAGAGAAAGAATAAAAGCCTCACAAAATGTAGAGCGAAAACAGGATCTGAGAGGTTTACAAAGCATACTTCATGTCGGTTTCGAGTATTCTTCTAAGCAGGTTACAGTTGAACTCATGAGAAATTGTAGTCTAACATTTGGCATCTAATGTTTGTGGAGAAAATTGAAACAAAAATTGACATCAACATAAAAGCTGAAGATACCAGGGATGCGTGGGTGGCTGTCAGTCAAGTGTCCAGCTCTTAGTTTCAGCTCAAGTCATGATCCCCTGGTTACATGAGTTTGAACCCCTCATCAGGCTCTGTACTGACAGCGTGGAGTCTGCTTGGAATTCTCTCTTTCTCCTCTTTCTCTGCTCCTCCCCTGCTCATGCTGTCTCTGCCTCTTTCAAAAATATATAAACTCAAAAAAAAGTGCTGAAGATATTATTGTTTACCCTGCACTTTTACACTTTTCCTCAACAAAGCATATTGTATCTGTCAATTAATCCTTAGATTCTGAATCCCTTTTTACATAAAGTAGTAATAGTTAACTAACATTAATTTTGAAATGTCATATACACAGTGAGGAATATACAGGACAAGGTATATCCACAACATGTAAAGAGCTAACACTGTCATTGACAACATGCATACCCATACACATGATGCAATCAAAATCAAAAATATAATAAGTAAAATATAGCAAAGGTCAAACTGCAGTAAAATGCTGAATATATAAAGAGAAGGAAAGAGAGTAAGAAAGGATCAATTAAAAAGCAGGAAAGAAACATATATTTTCAAAAGTAATCTGATAATTTGCATAATGCCTTCTTCTACCATAAGTTAGGTTGCCCAAAATCGTGACAAACCTGTAAAAATCCCGAAACCAAATTCTAAGAATTAGAGACTTCTACTTCCGATTAAAATGGAGTAAAGGGACTGAATTTGCTGAATTTACTCTCCTGTATAAATGACCAAAAAAATAATAATAATAATAAGAAAAACTGGACAAAGATATGTGAAACAATTGTTTTTTGAAGACACCAACCATTAGACAATATAGAATCATAATCAGTGAGAGAGAAGAAGCAAACTTGAAATTGTTTCCATGTTGTGGTAAAAAAGAGGAGAATCCAGGAGAAATCTGACAGATTCCCTAAACTGAGAAGATGGACCTGAAAATCTGGGGAAATAAAGATGGCTAAAACTCATGGGACAGAGTAACAGAGAAGAGTATATAAACAAATCAATAAATCAATAAAAAGCAAGTAAGTAATAAGAGAGAGAGAAAGAATTCCAAAAATTGGAGAGTACTCATTGACTATTTTGCTAGCACAGATCAGTTTGAGTGTGATGTACTACCCTGCCATAAAAAGAACCCCCTAAAAGGATTCGAAGAAAGTACCTAACACACAAAGCCAGGGATAGGGCATGTTCCCACCAGCGAGATTACAAAATCTCACCATCCCTGGAGCGTTTGGTAGAGTACTAAGAATGACCTTGCCTCAGTAATATGGACTAATTAGCCCTAAACACACACAACTCTAGTCCTGCTGAATGAATTTTAAAGGTAAGACCTGAAACGATGAAGCTAACTGTAAGTGACTTAGCTGGGCCCCAGAAGAAAGTGCAAGAACATTTATAGGATTCTGTCTTTTTCCCTCTAGATCAATATCTTTCTGGAGCTTCCTGAAATCCCAACTATGAATCATGTTCTGCATCTCTGATTAAATACAAAAATTGCACAAATGTTTCCTACTTCTTCATATTCATGCCCCATGTGATACGAATGTCCCACTTCTCCCCCATCAAGAGATGGAGTTTATTTCCCCCCACAGTCTTCCTTATAACTTTTTCTGGCTAACAGTAAGTGGTAAAAACGATGGTGTTCCATTTCTGTCTTATCCTTAAGAGTTCTTGCTAGCTTCCACACTCAAACCACTGTTATCAACACCACTAGAACCAGCTAGGACTAGACTGCTGAAAAGATCCTTTGGAGCAGAGCCAATCACCCCAGTGAGGCTATCCCAGGTTACCCAGCAGCAAGCTGATCACTAGACACATGAATTTGCCCCAGCTAAGAGAGGATGAACTGCCCAACCAAGCCTAATCAAGATCAACAGAACTTCCTAGTTAACTCACAGGCCTGGGAGCAAAAGATAATGTTTATGCATCCCACTGACATTTTGTACTTATTTGTTAATCAGTATTATTGTGGCATTAGATAACATGTTTAGACCAATTGAATCAAGGGTCCCAAAATAAAGTAGTGCCAAACTTCTAGTGAGGAGAACTTCCTCAGACTTTCTGGGATAAGTAGAAGGCCAACATACCCAGAATTCATCAAAGGCCATTAGGGGGCCCTGTTGCCTAACTCCACACACTAGCTAAAGGACCAAGATATTCTTAAAGAAACAACTGTATTTTAAAACTGGAAGAAATTTTAATATTCCAGTTCCTCATTTTACATTAGAGGACAGTAAGCACAGAGAGCTTATGTCTTGATAGAAGTCATACAGTAAGTTACTTGCTGAAGTGTTTTTACCATGTTGTACAGCCTCTCGATAAACAAATGTAGAGGCATTAAAAACTTAATAAACTACACCTATCTATTTGAGTCAGTTAAGTATTTGTAGTAGTCAATAACATTGTTAAAAATTTACTCAAGACTGAGGGGTGTCTGGTGGCTCAGTCAGTTGAGCATCTGACTCTTGGTTTCAGTTCAGGTCATGATCTCACAGTGAGGGTTCAAACCCTGTGTCAGGCTCCACACTGACAGTGCAAAGCCTGCTTGGGATTCTCTCTCTCCCTATCTCTCTCTCTCTCTCTCTCTCTCTCTGCCCCTCCCTGGCTCACTCTCTCTCTCTGTCTCAAAATAAATAAATAAACTTAAAAAAATATTTATTCATGTCTTGAAAATAAGAAAGGAGTGTAGTATATTCTTTCAATGTCATAGTGGAGCACTGCTTAATAAGTCCACCCAAGGATTATTAAGCATGTGGGGGAATTTACCTGAGTTTGATTTTACTATTTAATATTGGATTCAAGTGCAAACACTGTGAAGTTACATGTTAACTTGTAGATTCCTGTCCAGTAGAAAAGATCACTGAAGGTTATGGTTTTGTTGCCCTGTAGGATATTAATGACTTCTATATCTAACCCGGTATTTATCCTAATACTCTTTTTCTTAAAAAAATGGCTACTTTTAATCCTTAAAAAGATTTCAAACCAGTTTTATCATTAATGTGGTTCCCTTATTAGTTAATAGTCGGGCAAAACTTTGACAGATGTCCATTTCATATTTGTATGAGTTCTATTTCTGATGATTTAAAAATTATATTTGGACCATATATACTATTATATTCTCATGGCATCTACTATCATGACAGCTACTTATAAATATCACAGAAATTAAGCATAGAATTGAAGAATACACCTGGAGAAAAAAAATGATCTAAAGCCAAAGAGATAGGATCAGTCTAAGGTGATTGAAAAAAAGAAACACAAACACAAGTATGCACCTGACTGACACTGGCATATGCACCCCAATATTTATAGCAGCATTATCAACAGTAGCCAAATTATGGAAATAGCCCTTATGTCCAGTAACTGATAAATGGATAAAGAAGATGTGTGTGTGTATATATATACTTATATATGTATATATATATATATATATATATATA